TTAATATAATTATAATACTTTAATTTCCTTTTTCCCGAGTACTCCATTCAGACAAATTTGTAGATAAGCACAGATCGAAAATTTGCAGGAATGCCTTTCCCTTGGGAAATTATATGGCCATAATCAAGCTGCATACGGACCAACACACGTCTTCACATGATTTTTATAACATTTTAAATGTTTTAATGAGAAATTCTGTACCACGTTTGAATCAATGCAACCCCCAAATGCTGCCAGTTTACAACCAACCCTCCCCCCCCCTCTCTCTCTCTCTCTCTCTCTCTCTCTCTCTCCCCCCCCCCCCCCCCCCCCCGACCTCTTGCACGCACCTTGCGGTTCAGATCATCTCATAATATGTGCTGTTGTAGACATGTCCGGTATGAACACTGACCAGGACCCCCCGGGGCAGTGATGCTGACTGAAGTGTCTGTAGGTTACTCCCAAAGGAGGGACATTAACCATATTTTTATGCACAGTAGAATTGTAATTGTAAATGGGCTGATCCAGCAATGTCATGCTCATAATTGTGCCTGAACTACAACAGGGAACTGCTGATTTTTCTTTCCTAATCCTTATTATTGTCATTTCCCCTCTACTTCTTTTGTATGTTTGTCACACTCTTGTGACCCGCTATTTCCGGGGTGCCTTGATAGTCGAAGCAAACTTTGTGCTGTTGAAGTTAGAGAGGTGAGCAGAGTAAGTCTGATTCCCTGTAAGGACTTCTCTGTTGACATCCACCCATTGGCGCTCATAATATATGACCTTATGCAGTTGTGAGCACAGTAAAACCTCTACTAAAAGAAAAAAAAAACACACTGACCAGTCCATGACATTCATATTAGGACCTTCCAGAAACGGTGTCGTTTATTACACTGGCGGTGTGAGGGCAGACATAGTCTTGTACAAAGTCTGAGAGGTTCGGATTTTTTTACTCGGACAGTTTGTCCCAGGGAACAGCTCTCTTGTCGCGGATTCGTTAATTGCAGTCCTAAATAAGGCGTTCTTGGTCTACGTTCTAAACTTACTACTCAGCGCCTCACACTGATGGAAGAAAACATGTTCATGCATCCATTGCATGCCCCGAGCTGTTACACTAGCAGGAAGGATACAATATAACACTAATAACAGTAACAGACGTAACAGCAAAATTTGTCTGTCTAGGGTAGGGCTGGTGCCGACCTTTCCAGTGAGCTAAACTCTTACATCTCTGGATAAGTTGGGAAACAATACAAGTACTGTAATTGGGCAGTCTATGTGCTTCTCGAGAAAATTTTCCACCCGAGGCTGTGGCAAAACTAGCAGTCAGCTTCTCTAAGTTAAAGTTGAGGCGGCTTGCTTGCAATTAAAGAAATTAAAAATTGATCGCAACAAAAACCCAAAACAAACAAAAACAGTCCGGACTGTTGTTAGGAGAGACCAACGTCTCATCTTCCAGGTAAATAATATGTTTTTGCACTAGATTTAGCTCTAGTTACCTTGCGCCCAATGAACACATAATTTCACAAAAGCGTAGTTTTCTGTACTGTGCTAAAAAGTACTCATGGAAATTGACATGTACTCACCTGTGTTCCCGAAGACTGTGACGATTAAAAAAAAAAAAAAAAATA